ATTTTACAACTTTTACTAATTTTTTAATATTATTTGCTTTTTTCTTCTTCCAATTTCAAAATATTTCCTATTGATCAAAATATTGACTAAAATCAAAATCAGAATTTTCCTATTGATCAAAATCAAAAACTTCAAAATATGAAAGTATTTTTCTATTTCCTGTTTCCATTACCAATTAGGTAGTTAAGGAGGACATTGTTATTTTCAATTTTTGAGGCAGGGGAGGGGAGTTTGTCGTATTTTGCAACTTATTTTTTTAACTAAATTTTTTGCTTTGCTTTTTTTTATCTTTATTTTATTAATTCTTATTTTATTAAATTGCTGATTTTTATTTCGCTGTGTGGGCGTAGCGCAGTGGCAAATAGTACTACGTTGTGCGGCAGCTCGAAGGTTCGATTCCGCAGATAGAAAAACCAATTTCTCTACATATTTTTCTTTCATTTTTGCGGTAAATTGCTTTTGGCTGTCAGCTAGGGGGTAAGTTAGGCCATCAGCTTTGCTTAGATGTGCAATCCTAAAAAGAAAGAGCCATTGACAGCTGTGTCTACGTGTGGTTGCTATTAACGTGTGGTTGCTGCACAGGCTACTTCGGGGTATCCCCATCTCTGACAGAAACTGAATTGTGGAGGGGTTTTTTTTTTTGATTTTTGATCTTTTTTTATCTTTTCTTACCGTTGATCTTTTTTACCTTTTTTTACTGTTCGGGTTGAAAAAAATCCTGAAATCTGGAATTTTAAATTTAGATATTTTATGGTTATGGAAAAGGTCGTAAAAAGAAAAATAAAAATAAAAAGTAAAAATAAAAAGTTGGGTTTTAATTATTCGCAGCAGACGATTTTTATACGTTACGTATCAGTGAGGCTGTGTTATATAATAGAAAGTTATAATAAGAAAAAATGAAATAAAGTGAAAAAATGGAGGCAAAAAGTGTTTATATACCCCTTATTCGGTTAATGTCAGCAATTTTGTAGGATTTGATCCACGGTGCAACGGTCGGTAAGCCAGCGGCAAATCGATGCTACGTAACGATGAACTATGAAAATGACGATGGAACGATGCTTACGTTCACACGTTCGGTCACAAGTGCTGGCTCGGAATATCGTGTTGATGGAAAGGTATCGAACAGCTTTGAAAAAATGAGCCATAGAGATTCGTAAGCAACAGAAAATGTACTTATTTTTTACAGGTTGTTTCTCCACAACAATATAATCATGCCTTGGAACAGATAAACATCTTCATGAAGGCCAAAAATTGCCTCGTATATCAAGGACAGGTCGAACAGGTGGCGTTGAAAAATCCACGTGAACTGACACAAATGTTCGAGGAGATTTCTCGGTTT